TGATTCTCTGGCTTATTCTGTTATTATCATTAGATTCTAAGTGTTCTCTAAAATAGAACATACTTTTAAATTTTGTAGGGGTACTATTCACATTATATTTTATTAAAGATTAGAAAACTTAGAAAAAAAATTAAGTAGAAAGTAAGAAAATAGTGACTCAATCCCATCATGTCAGCAGTAATTCCTATTTCAATTTTTGAGGTATGTATCACTTTTTGTTATCTAGTCTCCCATTGTGGCTAAAATAAGTGAAGAAGAAAGGCAAATCACAAACTCCCAATAAAGTGTGTTGGTAAGTGTTGAAAATATATCCTGGTATTGTTTGAAAAGATTTTTTAATCTCATTTTTAAAATCTGTTTAGGGAAGAGAAAACACGGAAGAATCAGTGTTGGAAATCTCTCTTCATAGATACTTACTCAGATGTAGGAAGATACATTGATCATTATGCTGCTATTAAAAAGGCCTGGGATGATCTCAAGAAATATTTGGAGCCCAGGTGTCCTCGGATGGTCTTATCTCTGAAAGGTACTGGAAATGCAGGGTCCCCCTCCCCTCCATTTGGTTACTGTTAGTATAAAGAGATTATTTTAAGTAACTTTGAATCTATTATCTGTGCAACTGTGCTAATCTAACCTTGTCTGTTATTCACCAGTTATATTTGGCCAAGGAAGCAGAATACCAATATTATTAAATGCACCTGTACTATAGAGCCTGCCCTGTTTTTGTTCAGCCTTGGGACCCACATTGTTATTTACTAGAAGAGAAAGCTGAACAACTCCTTTCATCTTTTTGTTTGTTTTATGTAAAGAAGTTAGTAATGCTATGCTAATGCTAAGATTGTTTAACTATTGTGATTTCTTTTTTTTTTTTTGTGCTGGGGATTGAATTCAATGCTTTGTGTATGCTTGGCAAATGCTTTACCACTGAGCGGCATCCATAGCTCTTCTTATTTTTTTATTTATTTTGAAACAGGGTCTTGCTAAGTTTCTTAGGCTGACCTTGAACTTGCTGACCTTGAATTTGCCTGAGATTACAGGCTTGCCCCACCACTCCCAGCTTATTATTTCTTTTTGAAAGTTTTTTTTTTTTTTTTTTTTTTTTTTTTGTGTGTGTGTGTGTGTGTAGTACTAGAGGTCAAACCAAGACTTCACCCATACTAGGCAAATAGTGAGCCAATGAACTACCCACAGCCCAACAGATAATTTTTTATTTGAAAACTTTGCATATAGTATCGGCATTTTTTTTTTATTTTCAGTACAAGTAAATGTTAATGTAATATTTGGAAAAATCCTGGGTCTTTAAGAATATAAGAGCAGTATAATAAAACTTTATGCTTATTTTGATATTTACACAAAGTGGTGAAACTAAGATTTCAGCTGAGGTTTATTTGACCCCAGAATTCTGTGTACTTTCTATTATACTATTATTGTCTAATTTCGGCAAGAAATATTAACAAGTTATCGTAATTTTATTGGTTAATTAATACCAATGAAAATACATAGATATATTGCCACTTATCTGCTTTGTCTTCTAACATTTTTCAGATTTCTTCAATGAAAGAAATGTACACATTTTGGTTTTATTAAGCTAAAATTGGAATCCATTCTCAAATGTTTTCCTTTATTTAGAACTAATATCTCTTTTGAAATAGCATTTCTTTTCTCTGTCATATTTCCATTATAATTTCCTATGCAAATATCACTTTCATACCCATTGTATCTAAACTGAATTTCTAGAAGGTAGAAGAAAATTATTTCAGTAGAGAGAGGGTAGAGTAGAGCTTTGAAGAAAAGAACCTTGGTTAGTGTTTTTAATAACATGTTTGCTAGGAAGAAAAGAATAATATTATTAGCTGGTATGTGGTATGAAATATTTCAAGAGGACAATAATTCTGAAAAACAGGTATTTAGTGGTGATAAGTTAAATAGGTAATAGCTTGCAGTAGCTATTATTTATTAAGTATAAGCTAGGCACTAAATTTAATATTTTGTGAGAATTCACTTAATTTGCAAATATCCTATGAGACAGGTAATTCTATCCCCCTGCTCCTGACCTCCAGTGCTGGGACTTGAACCTAGGGACACTCTACCACTGAGCTACATCCCCAAAATATTTTTTGTTTTGAGACAGAGTCAATTGCCAAGGCTAGCCTTGAACTTGGGATCCTCTTGCCTCAGCCACTAAGCCCAGCTGTATTTTTGTTTTATAGGGAAGCTACGTAAGGCATTAAAAAAATGACATTGTTTTCCTTCACAAAACAAAAGGTAAAGCCGGGTATTGAATATAAGGCTGACTCCCACCAAATTGGTTGAAGGGAGAGAGGATCTATCCTATTTTGTTTAGAATGTCTTAAGTCTCTTTAAGGTCTAGTCCAGTATTAGGACATTTGGAATATGAGAATGTAGACAGCTTCTTTTCTTTTCTTTCTTTTTTTTATTTTATTTTTATTTTTGTTGTTGCTGTTTTGCATTCAGTTTGGTATTCCTAGGCTCTGCTGTTTTGTACCTAGCAGTTGGAGGTAGGGTTGTCAGAGAACTCCTTGACAGTTCCTGCTTTACCGCCAGGTGCCAGTTCTCAAGGACTTGCCTTGAGTGGAACAGGATAAAAACCCTTGGTATCTGGGAACTCTAGGAGCTCTGGGCATATGAAGTTTACAATTTTAGCAGGAGTCTAGCTGCTCACCTCAGATGCCTCATTCCCTGATTCAATTTCAAAGTTATAGAAGTGGCAGATAAGAAGGATAATTGGTGAGTAAACAGGCATTAGGCTTGGGACACATTTTATGAAGCGTACCTTCAAATTTCATATTTATCTTACGTGTTGGTTTAGAATTTTGGAGTTGAAAGAGCATTTAGAGATCATTTAGACCAGGGGCTGGCAAACTTTTTCTTTAAAGAGCCAGATTGTAAATATTTTAGGCTTTCTGGGACACATGGTCTGTTGTTCAACCTTGCTATTTCAGAAAAGCAGCCATTGACAATACATAAGCAAATGGGTATGGGTAGGTTCCAATAATACTTTATTTATAGAAATAGGCAGCAGGCTAGGATTTTTAGCTTGTGGACTACAATTTGCCAATCCATAGTTTATATTAGCACACTCATTTTGAAGGTGAAAAAAGGGCCTAATGTAAGGCCCTATAACTAGTAGTAAGTGATGGAGGTAAAAGAACTCCAATCTGGGTTTCTTGGCTTCTAGTAGCCTTTCACTGCTTCCTCATTTGAGTAGGTGAAAGGGGGAAGGGAAGTGAATGAATATTAAGTACCAGTAAAATACTTTATTAAATAAGCACATGAAATCTTATATAATCCTCACTATAATTCTCTCAGATGGGTGGTGGTATTATTCCCATCTGCAGATGAGAAAACTAGCTGAAATCACTTTCCAGTCAATAAGTAGTAGAGCCAAGATAAGAACACTGACTGTCTGGCTTCCAAATTCCATCAGAGTAGTATGCCTCTTTCAATCTTGATTTTACCATATTGTAAATATCTATTTCTTTACATTTCTCTTTTTTATGTATTGTTTTGTTTTTACTTTTTTCTCTTTTCAAGCAATTCTTAGTTTCTTAATCTTATATGTTAAATATCTAATATCTACAAATGTTAGTTTATTTAGTTCAGGCATTCAGCTTGGTGCCTTATAAACTTTTTGTTTTAGAGTAGTTTCAGGCTTATAGAAATATTGCAAAGATAGTTCTATATATCCCTCAGTTTCAGTTACTCCTAATATTCCACCATATGGGACATTTATCAAAACTAAAAAGTTATCATTAATATGTTGCTACTAACCAAGCCTAGACTTCATTTGGATTTACCCAGGGTTTTTTTTGTTTGTTTTTTTATTAATGTCCTTTATCTGTTCCAGGATCTTGTCTAGAATAGCACATTGCATTTAGTTGTCATGTTTCTGTAATTGTCTATGGCAGTTTCTCATTCTGTCATTCCTTGTCTTTTTATGACTTTGACAATTTTGAGAAATACTCATTAGGTATTTTGTAGAAAATTCCTCAAATTTGTTTTGTCTGATATTTTACTCAACATTAGACTGGAATTAGGGATGTTCAGAAAGATTCTTGCAGAATTGAACTACCGCTCCCATCACATATCATACATAGGTACAATAATGATGTTAATGGATGTACAGAAATGTGCACAAATCACAGGTGCTCAACTCACTGAATTATTCAAAGTGAACATATTCCTCATAATACTCTCCAGATCAAGAAAGAAGAGTCTCATTTCTACCTAGAAGCCTACTGATATCTCTTGCCTTTTTTGTAGAGTCAACCAACTGTCCTGATTGCTAATGCCAGCAGATTTTTTTTTCTCTTTGAACTTGATATAAATTGCATGGTTAAGTATGTATTTCATATGAATTGTTTTTGTTTTGATTGTGAGATTAAATGCTGTTGTGTTTAATGGTAGTATTAGTTAGCTTTTCATTGCTCTGACAAATACCTGGAAGGAATTACTTTGTTTCAGAGGTTTCAGTCCATGATTGGCTGATTCCAAGGCAGAAACATCATAGTGGTAGGGAGCAACAGAGGAAAACTTCTTAGCTCATGGCAGCCCAAAGCCTGGTATAGTCATCTGTCCTTGATTGTAGGCAGTACTATGAATAGAATTGATTTTATACCTACGATTGGGCCATTATTATATGAAACAGGTAAAGGAATTTTGCAGATATAATCTCAAATTAGTTGAATTTGAGTTTAACCTTATCAAAAGGGAAATTATCTTGAGTGGTGTCATTTAATCAAGTGAACCCTTAAAAAGGACTGGCCCTTCCTGAAGCCAGAGAGATTCAAAGTGGGAGTGCCACCAGAAGAACAGAATTATACCAATAATCAGTGAACTTGGATGAAGATCCCAGGCAAAAGATTTGTAAAATGAGCTAGCAGTCCCTGATCTCAGCCTTGCAGGACCTAAACAGAGGATCCAGTTGAGTCATGGCTGGGCTTCTGACCTACAGAAACTAAAATCATAAATGAATGTCTTGGCTCAGTTTCCTGGGGGTGGACTCAGCCTGTTCCACTTCCCCTCAGTCGAGCCTAAAGTAAAGAGGCCAGGTGTCTTCTTATATGGGAGAGATGTTTAAGAAAGGAACCTTACCTGGGCTGTCCTAGCCTCACATTTACTTGAAAAGCAAAAAAAAAAAAAAGAGGTATTTTAAGCTGCTACTTATAACAGCAATAAAAAACAAGTATACCCAGTATGCTTGTAGATAGGTCTTTTTTTCCATTTTGGTTCTGTCACTTTAAAAATTATATTTCGAGGCTGTGTTATTAGGTTTATAAAATTAGAATTATATGACCTGTGTAGTGAATTTAACCTTTCTGTCATTAAGAAAAGCCCTTCATTAGCTACAATAAAGCTGTTTGCCTTAAAGTTGTGCGATTTTAGGAGAGCTATTTCAGCATTTTTTTTCCCTTCTGTATCTATGTAAAGTTTTATCTCTTGTATATAATTGTGTGGTGGTCTTTTTGTTTGGAGGGTTTTGTTTGTTTGTGGGGCTAGGAATTGAACCTAGGGCTTCCTGAATGCTAAGCATTTTAACCTGGTGTGTCAGTTTCTTTTCATTAAATTATTTAGTGCCGAAGTCTGGCTTGGCACAATTCAGGAGCCACTTGTCAAAAGAAACTAACTTTATTTTTAGAACTACAAACGCCAAACAAAACAGCTCCTCAGGGAAAAAACCCTCAGAGCCCAACTGCCACCACTGGCTTCCACACGCCTCTCACCCCCACACCAGCCTCCCAACCTCCCACAATCCTCTTCTCTTGAGGCCGATTGGCTGGGTTGTGTGGGCAGAGCCAAAAAAGTCCCCCAATGAGCAGCTCCGTGGAGGAGCCAATCAGCTAGATGTTGCTGGGGCCGCTGTGAGCCAATCATCAGCTGGCAGTCTGAAGGGCAGGGAAACAGCCCAATGAACATCACCGCAGAGGAGCCAATCAGCTAGATGTTGCTGGGGCCGCTGTGAGCCAATCATCAGCCGGCAGCTGGAAGTTTGCTGGGGCCCCTTTGGCTGTGGCTCTCAACAATTTAGCCTATTTGTGTTTAGTGTTTTACTAATGTATTTGAATTTAAATATCATGTTCACTGTTCTTTGTGTTCTTCCTAATTAATTATGTTTTGTTCCATTTCTTCCCTCTTTTGAATTTCATTTTTAGGGCTTACCTCAGATGTTAAAATGTGCATCCTTGACATATTAAAGACTAATGTAAATCAGTGTTTTTACTCCTGGACAATTAAAATTGAACTTTGGAGTACTTTCATTCTAGTCACCTTCCTCCTGCCTTTTGTATTATAGTCTTTTGGGAATCAAACTCAGAGCCTTGACCATGTTAGGACCTTGCTCAACCTCAGTCCCTTGAATTATAATTTTTGTGATCTTAATTTTCGGTAGTTTTAAAATCCATAAAAACGCTTTATGTACATTCACTATTATTTTAGAATAACCTTCATATTTACTTTTTCTGATTGTTCTTCATTCCTACCTGTATGTTTATGTTTCCATCTGGGAATATTTTATTTTTCCCTAAATAATTTTGTGTGTGTGTCTGTGGTACTAGAAATTGAATTAAATTCATGATGCTGCATCTCTAGCATTTTATATTTTTGAGACAGGACCTTGCCAAATTGCCGAGGCTAGCTCAAACTTTCAATCCTCCTGCTTCGGTCTCCTAAATCCCTGGGATTATAGACATGAGCCACCTTGCTCAGCTCCTTTTAGTTTTTCTTTCTTTCTTTCTTTCTTTTCTTTTTTTTTGTATTGAGGATTGGACCCAGAGGTGCTTAATCACTGAGCCACATCCCCAGGCCCATTTTTTATATTTTATTCAGAGACAGGGTCTCCCGGATTTGTTAAGTGGTTTACTAAGTTGCTGAGGCTGGCTTTGAACTTCTGATCTGCCTCATCCTCCTAAGCTTTGGATTACAGGCATGTGCTACCGTGCCCAGCAGTCTTTCTTTTAATAGGGGACTGCTACTTCTGAATGTTTTCATATTTTCTTAGTCTAGAAATGTATTTATTTCATCTTCCCCAGTGGAGAATATCTTCACTGAATATAGAATTCTAGGCAGCACTAATTTTTTTCACCATTCTGAAGACATCCTTCTTCTGACTTCTATTGTTTCTATTGAGAATTCAGTTGTCAGTCTTACTTTGTTCCTTTGAAAGTTATTATATCCCCTTTCCCCTCCTCTAACTGCTTTTAAGATTTCTCTTTGTTTTTGATTTTCAGCAGTTTCACCAGTGATTTGTCTTAATACAATTGTAGGGTGCTTTTTGTATCATGGTCTGATATTTTCATCAGTTTTGGATATTTTCTGCGACTGCCTCTTCAAAAATGCTGCCTGTTCCTGGTTTTCTTCTTCTTCTCTTTCTAGGATTCCAATGCATGTATCTCAGATCTTTTCATTGTGTCCTCCCAGTGTGTCTTACATTCTCTTTTTATTTATTAAAAATAATAAATATTAAAAATAATATTAAAATATTACATTATTTTTTTATTTTTTTATTTTCCCACCTCTTTGTCTTCTGATACAGTTTCCAGTTTATTTTTCCTTTTTCATCTTTAAACTTATAATTTGCTGTTAAACCCTTTCAGTGTATTCTTTTTTTAAAAAGAAATTTTTTGGTAGTTGTAGATGGCACAATATCTTTGTTTTATTTATTTATTTATATGGTGCTGAGGATGGAACCCAGTTCCTCACACATTCGAGGTAAATGCTCAACCACTGAGCTACAACCCCAGTCCCCTTTCAGTGTATTCTTAATTTTAGTTATTCTAATCCTTAAGCTCTAAGATTTTCATTCAATTTAGTTTTAAATTTCTAATTCTCTCCTGAAAGTCCTGTCATTTAATTTATTGAGTACATCAATTGTCATGTTTCCTGACTTCAGGAACTGATGTATTATAGATTTGGCTGTATTTTTTCCCCTCGGGTCGGATCTTGGCTTTATGTAGACCTTGGTTTTTTGATTGTTTGCTAGACATTACTTGAGCGTGGGGAATAACATTATTTTCTTCTAGAGATTTATTTCTGCTTTTGATTGGCAGCTCATCCTTGGACAAATCACCTCGTTCCAATCAGACATTGGAATCTGGGCTTTATTCTTTGTGAGGACTGATCTATTTTCATTCACCCTTATCCGTAGGATATGACCCTTCTGGATTCTCACCAACAAAAACTAGTGTTTTTAAAATCAGTTTGTGTGTATGTGTGTGTTTGTATACATATTTTTTTTTCCACCTCAAGTCAGATCTTGGTTTTATGTAGACCCAGTTTTTTTGATTGTTTACTAGATATCCCTCTCTCTTTCTTTAATTCTTTCTTTTTTTCTTATTCTTTCTTTTTTTAACCTTTCAGCAATGCAGCACAGCTACCTAAAGTGTTGATCAACTTGGGCCATTGTTGAAAGTGGATATCTTCTTCTCTAGGTGTTTGCTATTCCTTCCTACCTTTAAATAAAATCTAGAATATGTGGCAAGTTTTTAAATATGCAAAATTCAAGTTAGTGGCCTCCTCATAGCATGAACTACACCTTTATGTTCCCATATTTCACATAAAAAGACTGTGTTAAAACTCTAGAGCAATATCAGTTTAGAGAATTTCTGGAATTTTTTAATTTTTATTTTAAATAGATTTTTTAAATACTTTATTTAAAATAAACAGATTTTAATTTAAATAAACAGATTTTAAAAATCAGATTTAGAAAAACAAGATCTACCCCAAGCTTTGTTCTGTATTGTAATACAATTATTGTGCATCTCATGGGTACCCCCTTTCCACATTTTAATGAGTCCTATTGAGAGGAAACTAAAGAATTTGCTCATTCCATGCTTCAAATAAATTTCAATTCATTTACCTATATTTCAGTAATACAATTTGGACAGAATTCTCTTGTTGAGAGATTGTTTCAGAGGTTAGCAGATAGATTCTATTTCTTTTTAGATTGCGTTGTATCTTCATAATTCTTTCTTTGGTGTGCATTTGCAGAGGGAGCTCGTGAAGAAGACCTAGATGCTGTGGAAGCGCAGATTGGTTGCAAGCTTCCTGATGACTATCGGTGCTCATACCGAATCCACAATGGGCAGAAGTTAGTGGTTCCTGGGTAAGGTGTTCAATGTTATGGTTATTTTAGTGATGTAAGTTACTTTCTAGAATGAAAGTAAATAAATTGTATTTCTAGTTACCCTTAACAGTTAAAGCATATATAAGAATTTCTTCTTCCTCCTTACAGCAGTCATTATATAAAATCTATAACTTGAATTTAAGTTTATCAAAATAAACACATCTCATAAAGATACCATTTCAGTGGCGCTGGGTTCGATCCTCAGCACCACATAAAAATAAAATAAAGATGTGTGTCCACCAAAAACTAAAAATAAATATTAAAAAAATTTCTCTCTCTCTCTCTCTCTCTCTCTCTTAAAAAAAAGTGAAGTCTGGTGAAGGAAAGGGAAATGAGTAAGAGGGGAGAGGGCTTAAGTATAATTGTGAATATGTTGTAATTAAACTGTTAAGAACTCTTGACATGTTCATCCTGCTATAGGCCAGGTAAATTGTTTGGAGAGTTTGATATGGATTCTATCTAGTCTACATGTTAAAAAAAAAGTGATAATTTGGGTCTGCAGATGTAATTTAATGGTAGAATGCTTGCCCAGGCATGCCGGACCCTGGGTTTAATCACAGTACCAGAAAGTTTTAAAAAAAGAAAAGAGTTTTATCTTTTTCAAGTGCAACATATAATTGAATGGCCTATTTAAGACTTCTAAAAAGATGAATCACATTAGGAACCATCAGGTAACCCTTTACCTACATTATTGTCCACATATATGAAGCAAGATTGATTTCTTTTACCTTGCAGATTTCAAGTTTGTGAAATGGGACATAGCTGAGGCCAGTCTGTCTGATTTACAATGTTTAGCCTGATTATACTGTCTGGTTTTATGGAGTAAACTAAAGGATGTATCAAGATAAAGTTATCAGAGAACTTATCCCTTTAAAAATTAAATTAACCATACATATAGCAAAACATTGGCAAATGAATAGATCATGGCAAGATGGATTCTTTAAAGAAATAAAATTACATTTCTTTTTTCTTTAAGCTGACATTTAGACAATTTAGA